TATTTAAGAATAAAACTAAATTATGAAACAGCATAATATATTTAACTTATAATTATAAATTTTGTAGAGAAATAGATTTTAAATAACAGAGTTAGGTTTAAATATATAATATAGTATACAAATGTCTTTATATAGGTATGTCATTCAATGAAGTTTTATAGCGTAACATATATTATGATTAATTATTTTAATTGATTAATAACTTGATTGTAACAAAGCAGATAATAGTTATTCTTCATAGAGAGTTAATTAGTTAACTTACTGATCGAATATGACTAATTCTGAACGTAAACGAGGCTATATCCAATAAAATAAATGGTATCTTTGCTTATGTAGACTGTGTACATAGTTTATTATCGTACCTTTACCAAAAGTTCTGAATACACCTATAGAACCAGCCATGTTTATTGCTCCTTTTATAAATAGTTTCGGTACTTGTGTGTCGATTTCTAATCGAAAAACGTCGTCAAGAAAGTGCGCTCTGACTCCACTAAAATGAGTCTTTGATAAACCATTAGCAGTAACATTTGACATAATAACTTCTGCATGTACGATGTCTGAATTAATAACAGCTTTGCCGTATTTGTAAAATAATGGATCCAAAGATGAAAATTCAAATTCTGGAAGTCCTACAAAAATTAATAACTTAATGCGATTTGATTATATTAATATTATAATAACTTTAATTTTAAAAAAATTTTAAATTTTTCTTACTTGCTTAAAAAAATCCAAATAATTTATATAGAAATTTATTTTTTGTTAACGCGTTGATTAACATTCTATTTCTAATCGCAGTAATGTAATTGTAAGTAGAAGATAATGCATGTACTTTATTTAAAATATATATGCATGGATTAATATAATAAAATTTTGTAAATTTTAAAGAAAAAGATACCTTTCACAAATCGTGGCCATACTTCTTCTATAGCGTGTTTTAAGCAGGCAGAATAATCAATTGAATCTCGTTTGCAGGTTATTACAGCTGAATAGAAGTAACAATAGAATATATAAATTAGTATACTATAAAAATACATAAAATACATTATTTTAAACATATTCAAAATATAATTTAAAGATTAACTATTTTTTCATATAAAGAACATATAAGTTATTAAATATGTATCATTATGTTTATATCACAAATATGGAAAGTTTTTATAGTTTTTTTCTTTCTAATAAATAATATTGTTATTATTTATAATTTGTAATTTATAATTCATAATACTTGCAATTTATACTTGTACACTTAAAAATTATTATTTGTAAATGTAAATAAGAACATTACTTGCATAGAAAATTACAAAATGAACGTCTGAATATCAGGAAATCTCTTTTCGTAATAAAATGATTAACGAATATTGAAGAATAATTATTACAATATTTAGGTATGTCAGCGTAAGTAATCGCATAATTGATTGTATGGCTCTATATTAGAATAGAATTATATTCATATATACGATATCTTAAAAATATATCATATATTTCTTGTTTGATAACATTCTTATGTCCATTCCACATTGATATAAATAATTTTATGCGAATGAAACAATGGATGTATCAAAGTTAAGGCGCCGATATGCGATAACATTATTAACTATTTAACTACAACATGCGGTTATAATGCTTGCATATAAGATTTATTAAATTTAACTCAAATGCAGATTTTACGGCGCGTTGTTATCGTCATTATTTGGAAAGTTTTTAATAAACTGAAACTGATTTAGGCATGCTAAATGTTATATTTCAACGGAACAGTGATTATGTTGTAAACATGAGAAATAACGATTATACAGCTTGGTATTTTTTAGAATAAAATAAGAGAAGCACGATCACATTGCTTGGCATTTTTCAAATGGTTAAAAAGTAAGTAATAAAGATTTATTTTTAAAAACTTACGAATATTAGTTTCTAATCCGGCTGAGGATAATCCAAATAGTGCAAGGCTAAATACTGTGCGTGTAGATTAACATGCTGATCGTTTATTAGTATTCCAGCAACTATCGTGTTAGAGACAATAAAGTCTTATACAATCTCAGTTATCACGGCTTCCCAAGCAACATAAAAATCTAATGATACTAACATGCATAAGCATAAAATAAAAAAGAATAAATGTTAAATTGTTTCCATTTCTGATCAAAGATTAAATTATGCTCTTATCTTTTAGTCTTTCAAACTAAAAGAGCATACATTATTTGCTCATGTACATTATACATATATTCAAGGATACGAGAATAAATTTAAATGAATATGTCAAGAACTAGAGAACTAATAAAAATCTGTAGTTTGCAAAATGATATTCACATGGAAACCTCAGTAAGTAATGTCACAAAGCAAAAAATGCTTACAATTATGGTTACTTACGCAGTTTGAATAGCGATATTTTACGACAGGAGGAGCTAATTTCATGTGTAATGTATGTCTTTTTTTCATATTATTATTTACAACTTTGATTATCAATCATTGAGAATGTACTGTCAAATATTATCAAACGACCACCAATCGAGTGGTTGATCTTTAATGGATTTTCAGTAGTGGGAGCCCAACTTCATACAGCTGACACAATAGATACCAATGCCTTTTCGATTCGGCAACATATGTTTCCCACATCCAAAATGTTTATTGGATATTTTAGCGAAAATATTTACGATAATTGTAATATTCTGTATTAAGCTATCTGATCACTATATTGTTGTATATTTATTATCTTAAAAACATGTGTTCTTTGTTTAAAGTTTATTTTATTTCTTGTTTTAAGGCAATTTAAAGTTATAATTTCATGTTTGCAAATTATTTTTATTTGTTTGCATTAATTTTACACAAATTTTTGAGACACAATTCATTGAGATTTAGCATAACAATATTTTGAAAAGAATATTTCAAAGAATTCTTAAAAAAATACTTACGAAGTTTAGATTCTCCAGCCGAGAGTAATCCAAATATTGCAATGCCGAATATACTACGTACATAAAACAGCATGTTTTTTATTTAATATAACACGAATGTCTTGCGTACACTAAATAGAAAATATAGTGTATCTACTATCTCCTGATCTGCGAATAATGATGATAATTCATTCTGGTTGGGTTTTATATAACCGAGTTAATGATATATTTCAAAATGTGACTCATATTAATATTCAATAATAAATAAACGTGCACACGTATATACAAAAGATACAAAGATTACAAAATAATAAATCTTTATTATTTACATAATCTTTATTTTTTTATAAATGATATGCACTTTTAAAGCTTTTAGAAGTGTGTGCATATATGTGTATAAATTAATATTGTTGCATTTGCCGCCGCCGTGCGCAGCACTCGCACACACTTGCGCATGCGTCCGTCTCACGTCTGAAGCCGCGGAAATGATCGGAAGAGATTTACGTAAGTAAATTTTTTATTACACTACAAATAAGAATGTAAAGCCGAACACGTCTGTTCGGTTTGAAAACTCGACACAAACAACAACGTAGCAACTATGAGGAGCGTCGTCTCGGAGTTCGCTTCGCGGCTCGTTCTTGATACGCCTTGAACTTAAGACCGGAATAGCACGGACAAACTGCCCTTCCTCTTCAAAATTGTCGCCCCGATAATTCTCGTGAACCTTTCCAGAAATAAAAGTTGTCTTTCCCTTCTTTGATTTGGACTCCAAGGTCCTCAAGATACTTTCTTGCTCTACCCTGAGCTAATGCAGATTATCGGACTCATCTCTCTCCGTATCCAATCCGTTTCGGGATACTCCTTTCTTCTCCGAGAGGCAGCTTTCCAATATAGGGCAGGTTCTCAACCGATATCTTTCGGAAGATAGTCAGTTTCTTCCTTCCGGCGCCAGAGTAACCTTCCAACTTTTTTCTCGAAGTACGAAATTGTTTTTGCGGGTTTGACGTTTGAGGTTTGGGTCCTTTTTTTTGAATGTTCGGACAATGGGAGGGGAGAATTACTATGGACCCAACGTCTTAATAAAGACTCTTTTCGGCATTCGTTCAAAGTCCCACAGAAAAACCACGTTTCAAAAAAATCATGAGCGAGACAGCCCATTTTTCTTCTACGAAGTCCTGCTTCGATGTTCAGCGGGATCCTTCGTACTCAGCCGAGAGATGTTCCTTTTTTCTAGATCTTCTTTCCCCTGTGAAAAAAACGCAGAAAAGACCGTACTACAATTAATTAAATTTATTTCTTAAAAGTTTCCGGGCTCCAATTTTTTTTATTAAAAGAAAAATTTATTCTATCGTCAATCTTCCAACTCGTCTTTTAATAAGGAGCTAACTTATCTGAATGCACTACCTTGTTTCTATGCCTATAGGATTTCTTAATACAAAATACAATATTGCTCAATTTTTTATTATTTTATAAAGACCCTCCCAATTTCTCTGCAACTTGGATGATTTAAATCAATATGTAATAATCGACAAAATATATGAAAAAATGGCAGCTATCAGTAGCAGACCGAACATTTTGATGGCAGATTGATGCAAATGATAAACAGTTTTGTTATTGCAAACAATGTCAGGAAACATCTTGCAAAAATGCAACAATGTATATTTTGCAGTAAACATCAGAGTCTGAGATTGTTGTGTCAATCTGTCGCCGTATTGCTATTGTTAGATCTGCTTTGATGTCGTCAATTTAACTGCGGAGTATGTTTTTTATATTTGATTTACATTGAAGACTAACTGGGGACACAGTAGACTCTGGCTTTGATATTATCGTTTGCTAGCATTTGTTTCTTATTTGGCAACATCCCACAACCAAAATGTTTGCTGAGTATTAAAGTATTTGAGCGAAAATGATCACGATGATTGTAATAATTGTATTATGTATTAATTTAACTATTTATTCACTTTATTGTATATTTATTCTCTTCTAATTATATTGTGTAATTATATTGTTTCTTGTTTGGAGGTAATGATTTCATTAGAGAAATTATTTTTATGTCAACTTTGTATTAATTTTATACAAATTTTTGATATATATAACACAATTTACTGAGATTTAACATATAATAATATTTTTAAAAGAATATTTCAATGAATTATGAAAAAATATTTACAAAGTTCATCAGATTCTCCAGCCAAGAGTAATTCAAATATTGCAATGCCGATTATATCACGTACGTAGAATTTTGCGTTTAATATTTAGTCTTGCGTACTCTAGATAGGAAATATACTGTATCTCCTGATCTGCAAATAATGCGACTGATCTTGACTTTCTGGTTGAGTTTTATATAACTGAGGTAATAATATCTTATATAAATATTGAAATGTTCAATGCAGACATGCGTAACCATACGAGAGATACAAAGGTTACAAAAATCATAAATCTTTACTATTGACATTGTTACTTTTTCTATAAATGTTATGCTCTTATAATGCTTTTAAAAGTGTGTATATATTTTTTGCAAATATATGTCATATACTATATCATACTAACTACAGATAAATTATTTCGTTTATGATTTTTAATAAATGTCACCAGTGCAAAGAAAAACTTGAAAATTTAGTTTATAATATGATAGAAAAGAAATTTTTAATATTTGTGTGTGTAAATCTGTTTCTGTTTTATAAAGTACACATATTCTACAATGAGAAGTTCTAAAATAATTTATGCCCTGTTATAATACAAAGTAACAAACAAAATTATATATAATTTTTTCTTATCTAATTCTGTATATTAATTATTATTACTTTTGTGAAAAAGAACCGTAAATTTTAAAAGTATTATAAAGGAGTAACACATAAATGGAATTAAATTTATTGAATTTAGATGTAATTTTCCTGTTTAAAATTATCTTAAATTTTAA